TTGAAAAATTGTTCATGAATTCAATTAAAAATAATAAATCTATGCTAAATGTGTAGAATTAAAAGGGCAATAATCCATATGGCTTTCTTGGTCTCTGAAATATTGTGCTAGTTTTCACTGATGAAATAGATAAGATTTAGAGCCAATGCTCACAAAACCTTTCAGCCAAATTGCATGATCATGCACAAAGTACTTAGAGCATCTCTATGAAATCTTCCCTGGGGGCTATTCCTTTCTTCAAATCCTCTCATCCCTAACTGATCTACTTTTTCACACCACTTCAGATTACCATTGGCTTCTTTCTTCATCTGTAACAGCAATAAACACTGAACTGGAAATTTGACAGTTAACACCATTCACTTGAGTTTGGTAGGTGTTCTTAATCCTTCTTGTCTCCCAACCAGACAAATCTTTTAGCAATCAAGAACCATGCCTTTGGTTTCTCTATTTGTTCCTATCACAGGTTTCAAGTTCATTAGTGTCTAGTGCCTTCTGGTGACAAAGTGAAGAACTGAATAATTAATAGTGAGAGAGCAGGGAGGGAGGAGAAAGAGATTAAGGGGGAGAGAGAAAAGGAAAAAGAGAAACTAAACAGAGGGAATGTCTTTGTTTATTTTGTTGTTCACCAGGTCTTATTATGTATTTGCATTCTTCTTTATTTTTTCTATACTCCCTGGGTCCTTTTTCTTTTGACATATAGACTATTTCATAATTCCCTAAATATTTTCTCTTTTTCTGCTAACCCCACCTAAATGAATGCACTCTTCAAAATCTCAAGTAAGTTCACTATTTTTTTTCGGCAGTCTTACTACACCACTTACTTCAAGATGTCTTCCTACTTTGAAATCTCTTGTTGTTGACTTTTTTTTTTCCATAGCTTATTTTTGGCCAAATTATTTTCCCATGAATTCTATTTTTAATATTAAACACTTAAAAATTCTCTCTATGACAAGACTGTAAGACTAGTATGTTCCTTTTGCCTAGTATGGATCCAGCAAATACTTGCTAGTTTGATGTTTTAACTTAGGAATAAATTGAATATTCAATTTTACTTAGATAGAAAGGACATCTTTGGTACATCCTGGTAGGCAGGTGACTTCAGTTTTATTTTCAAAGGTGAGTATGATTTATTTGGAGTAATCTCAAGTCAGAAGAAGCAAGATAATATTAGGCTTTGTGGAATAAATGTAATGAGAAGAGGAGGTCTGTTTTTGTTGAGAAAGAAAATTTTGCTACATGACTGTAATTAAGGACAAATCAGAGATTAATGATGCATTATATTCTAGAGCTTTAATTGACATATGCCAAGAAGTGGCTTTCCCAACTTTAAATGGTTTGCAAAATATTATTTCTGTACTTTGTTCCATGTACAGAAAATAATGAAAACTGGGTATGCTATTCAGAAAGTTCAATATTTATTCTAAAATGTGAATTATTGGGTTATAGGAATATTTCATATTCTCCAAAAGAGCATAAAATCTACCTCTACTAATTAGTTTCTTTATGAAAGCCTTCCAGACAATTATAGGGTAATACTACTGGTCAATGCTTTAGGTGCTTTTCATTAAAGGTATAGTGTCACTACCAGATGAATTGCTTCATAGAAAAGCACTTACCACAAAGCCCTATAATGGAAGGTTAAGTGCTGTACTTAATTACTAATTTCAACCTTATTACCTATATTTTGCAGTGCAGGCACTTTAAAAGGAACCAAATATAGTCTGTTGGTTCCTGCTTCTTTGATTATAGGACTTGGTGGTAAAAGCATTAGTCCAGTTACTTTTCTAATGAATAATAACTCTAAAATTTTTTAAATAAAAATAGCTATACCACAAACTAATACAGAAGATATACATTACATCTTGCTATTAAACTCATATTAAAAGCACTTTGTTCCAAAAACTTTAATCTAGTAACACTTTAAATTTTTATTCAGAACTTGGGTGTAGTGGTCTATGCCTGTAATCCCAGTGACGAAGGAGGCTGAAGCAGGAGGACTGTAAGTTTGGCCAGCCTCAACAACTTAGCAAAGCCCTCAGCAACTTAATGAGAGCCTATCTCTAAACAAACAAATTAATTAATTAATTAATTAATTAATTTAAAAAAAAGTACTGAGGATGGAGCTCAGTGGTAAAGCAGACCTGAGTTTAATTCCCAGTAACAATGACAACAACAAAAAAATCCAAGTGTATTCAGCCTTTATGGCATTGTTGCAGACAGATTAAGCTCCAAAAGAAATAGTATTTGGAATTTTTATTGTTTATTTCCTACTACAATACCATGCTGTAATGAATACAAAGCAGATGATTGATGATAATAATAATAATGATAAACTTGGTGACAACAACATGGCTTCTCTGAGTTCTTTACATATTGATCATTAATTTCTGTGTAAAGAAATTTCTCACATGTGTTCTAATTCTCTTGTGGGCCGATGCCAAGTTTGTTTTTTTGCTTGCATCCTTCAGAATAATTGCAACTTGGCTCACTCTGGATTGATTAAATTACTTCAAATACTACATGGGGGAAGAACACTTAGATCTTGGACTAAATATAAAACATTGGATCTAAAATAACTGTTTCTAAAGTTTTGCTCCTTAATTATTATGGTACCTCCAGCTTCTAATATCTAAATAAATTTCATGTTGTGTTTCTTATTCTATTTAATTGGCAAATGAGAAATTGTATGTATTAAACAAATATTAATCTAAAAATATAAATATTTCTTCAAAGAATTAATTAACACTGCCCCAATACAGGTACCAGTATTCAAAGTGGACATTAGCCTGACACATGAAGATAGGGAATATATCTTTTGGCAACTATGCCCAGATCATGGTATCTGGTACATACAATTACAAGCTTCTTAATCACATACAATATGGTAAAATTGTGAGTTATAGAGATTTTTTTAAAAATGAAGTTTCTACCAAAATACATTGACAAATTAGAAAACTAGATTTGGAGGACCCATGCTTGCAAAAGGGCATGCTATTTTTGTCTTTTAGAGATGCACTCTGAACATTAACAGAATAAGATCCAAGAATGGAAATTTTTACCTTACTTTAACCCATAATTTCCCAATTTAATTTGAACATGACTTCTTCCTTTCCTCTGTAGGTAAGCATTAATAACAACCAGAATGGCGTTCTTCAAGATAACAACATGGGAAGTGCTGATAAGAGCAAAATGTTACTAAATAAAGATAATTTTAAACAACTAATTATTGAAACAAAGCTATCCCTCAAGAGGAAACAGCCACAGTGTAAGAGTAACAGGAATTACCATTGTACATGCTCAGGTCAAACTTTAGAGATGACCACATCCCATGGCAGAGCCTAGACCTTACCCTGCTTTATGTTTTCCTGGCATCCAGGGCAATGACTTCCTATCAGAACATAGGAATTAGTTATTCCCTACCTTAGGAAGATTACCAACTTCCTTCTCTATAATTCCACTGCAGTTGAAGTTTATTTGTTTGTCAAGTACATTTATAGTTGGTCTTCAGTGAATGCAGTGGAGATGAATAACAGGGGCTCTGAAGCATTGAACACATATTTAAATAACTTTGCTTTCAGATGTTTCATTCCTTCATCTTATTGTAGATGGTAACAGAAGGACTATTCACATACTTGTAGTATAAAATTGTGATAATTCCCCAGGATACCAATTTGGCAAACATTTTATTGATTGCCTACTATTCACTAGTATTATAAAAGGCACTGGACATATTATTAATTTGCTTGCTTTGGAATATTGACACAGAGCAGGTTTTAATTACATCTAATTCAGCAAATATTTGCAAAGCACTCATCATATAGAATAGGTTGAAATGGAACTTGAAGATGTAGAATTATACAAATTAGGAAAGGTCTAGAAAAAGCAGAAGGGGCATTTCATTCCATAATTGTGAGTCAATCCTAGGGAAAATTGATATTTATGAACAAATCTGTATTTCATCAAATTATTTCTTCCATTGAAACAAATAATTCTAATAGAGGAGTTAGTTATATGTACATTTTGGCTATCATTTGTATTGTGAAGAATGAATTTTCACTTTGTACTTTATACTGTGTTATAAATTGTATGCTGTGCAGCAGCAACAACAAAAATTAGCCTGTCTAAAAGGGGAATAGAGACAAATGAGACTGATTCTTTGAGGAGGCAATTTTGTACCAAAATATAATGACAGCAAATACCTTGGTACTTTAAATTTGTATTTTACTTGAAAATAACATATCTGTTTTTTTTTTTTTAATTGAGAACATACACAACTGCAAGTAGCACTGGTTTATTAGATTTCTAACCTACCACCTTTGTGTAATAACAGTACAGACAAAATTCTTTGGCGTGAACAAGTTAATTTTTATTTTATTAATAATGCCTTGAGATTCAGTTTACAGACCTAAAATGAGTGATATGAGCATCTCAGAATTCTCCTGAAACTGCATGGTTCTAGGAAGCTGAAAGGCTCCTTTTGCTTTTCTAGCTGTGATGTCTGCTGCCCCTTCCTCCTCTGCTCATGCCCTGCTCTCCCCACACCTCTCCCGGGTTTCTGCTGTGCACCACCATCAAAGCAGCAGTCCAGCTTCACTTTCGCTCAGAAAGCAAATGTTATCCAATTCCCTCCCTTGGTTTTAAATTTTAACGTTGTTACTTTTGACAAAGCCTTTTCTTTGTTCAAATGCAAGGATCCAGTAAAAAGAGCTTTGACATGTTGTGTATTTTTATGTGTGCATTTTTCTGGTTTTCACTGATGTCCTGAATTTTGCAAATGCTAACGTGTGCCTTCAAGTTCGCCTAAAAATGTCATTTGTACACTGTAACAAGAACAGTTTAGGACAGCATTACATTCACGATTCTAAAGTCCAATAAATACTTGATGGTTTTTCTGAAAACCACAATTTGGTGAAACGGACGCAAAACAGAGCTTTGTTTTCCAGTTTTGTTTTGTTTTTTCCTCCATAAAATCTTCCCCAGATACATATTCACTTGCTTACCTGCTGGGTAGCGCTCGATCACTGGCCAGCTGTCCACCTGTAACGTGGCATTGCCACCACTCCTCGTGAATCGGACCACATGGTACTTCCCATCATTAATGATTGCATTGGACTCTTCAATAGCGATGTCATCCGTCCCGACATTAAACTTAACTCCAATTTTTCCTTGGTGCTGGAAGGGAAGAAGAAAGGAAACAAAGAGGTGTATTCAGTTGAACTGATTAATCAGCATTTAAGAAGAATTACATACAAAGGGATTGTTCAAAAATATTCTTTGGACAACAGCTGCTTTCCTCTGATTTTACATCTGAAAAACACCTCATAATATAAGCAAGATTCTTGACATTTTGGTAAATGTGAGACATCTCTTTCAGGGATAACTGATATTCCCACAGACACACTTTCAAGGGAATTGAGATGTCTTTTTCCCAGAGGTTGCCAGAGAGAAGCACACAGCTGTCTGCATGAAGCCACCTCCTTTCTTGTCCTTTATTAGAACTCCTTTAATCCACACTCCTCATTTCACAAGAAAAGCAAGACTGGAAACCCTCCGTTTTAGTAACTAGTGGCATTGCAGCAATGAAATCTGTTTAGAGTCAAATGACAAATGCTCACAATGTACAAAATCACTCTAAAGGGTAGGGGCACAAAGACAGGCCTTTAATGAGTGAACTTTTTAGTTATTATTCACAAAACCAAGGCTCACAGCCTCAAACTGACTCAATTTCTTTAGTTTACAGATGAAATTATCACATTGACTCCCACAAGGTCTCATGACTTAACAGAGATGTGGAAGTACCAAAATTCTGTTTTCTCATTTTTCAATGATATCTAAGCTGAGATGAAGCTATGATACAGTTATCCAAAATTAACTTGCTCTCTGTGTTAAGCAAAGTAACACGGCGAATCTTTCAAAGTATAAAGTTGTGGTTGTTAACTTTAGGATTTCATAACACAAGGTGGCAAAGAAACATGTGCTCATCTCTTCTGCCTCTGAGGAGCATTCTCTAACAGCAGGGCTGTCAAGTCCACCTTGAGCTCAGTTGACTTTTAAAGTATGTGAGCTTGCCCTTCATCATTAGCAGGAAATACCTGTGCTGCAGGCCCTTGTCAGAGGACATAACTTCAAACTGTCCACCGCTCACCTTTCATCAAACCCCAGATGGGAGAAACCACATGGGGGGAGAGGGGTTTAAGAGCCACACAGCCCATTCTTTCCTGTAGAAATTTTAAGTCAGAATATTAGAAGCCTGAAGGTTTGGACCACATTCTCTCTGCTCTTTGCTAGATTCTCATCATTGAAGGAGGCAGCGGGAGGATGACTTCAGCTTGCCCTGGGAAGTCTTATAAAAAGTCTGTATAAAGTTGCATTAACTGAAGGGAAGTATTGAAGATGTTATTTGTGACATTGCTCATTATGCTCTTACTGCAGATATCCTAAAAGTTGTTTTTTAATGTGTGTTAAAATATATATACCTATGCACAAGGCCCTGGGTTCAATCCCCAGCAGCATCAAAAAAAAAAAAATATATATATATATATATATATATATAAAACATTGGGCAGTTTATTGAAAATGAGGAAATGTGAATTTTTCTAACATAAGAAAATCACCTGAAATGTTAAAAAAAAACCTGAAATAACTTAAAATAACATCTATTTAAAAGTAAGAATAATAAAAAAATATGTTGAGAAATAAAAGTAGGTCCAAGAGAAACAATCTAACAAAAATCTAAACAACTATTAAAATTTCTCTACCTATTTCCACTCTTGAGTTTGCTAACAATTGGTCATGTATGTAGAATTTTGAACACTTTATAAATGCTAACTCTGGCAGTACTCATAACAGTCCCAGGAGAGAGATACTATTTTATTTCCATATTACAGATGATGACATTAAGGCACAGAGTGATAAAGTAAGTTGATTAAGGTCCCACAGCTAGCTTACAGATTTGGTAAATCTGACTGTTCTTTGCAACCTGTTTGATCTATCCTGTTAAAGTAGAAGCACCATGGGGTCTCCTATTGTGTTTTAAAGTTTTTTGATATATATCACTCAATGTATACTTAAAATAATTTCATAATGGATACTAAGCAATGGATATGTGAATTTATTAAGATGTTAAAAGGTGGATTCTTTTTGTTGCAATTTTAGCTGAGATCTTAAGAAGATGAAAAAAAAAAAGATTGCTTGTCCATCTTACAAAATTAGGTATAAAATTGCTTAAGCCAGATTTGCAAAGGAGAGCACTGTCAACTACTTTTAGGGCTCCAAATCTGGTCCATCAAAAAAAAAAAAAAAAAAAAAAGGAGGAAAGGCAAAGAGGTTACTGATAATTAGAAGAGGATTTGAGAAAAAAGTTGGGATGTGATGGGATTCACACATACTTCCAAGGTGAAAGGGGACTTTTCTCTTATCTAAAGTACAGGGAAGGAGACTTTAATGGAACATCTCAGAAAGTTTGATATGCATCTTCTGGGATATGGCAGCAGTGGTTGCAGTAGTTAGAAAACTGAGATCTAATATACCTGAAAAATCTTCAAGGGAAGAAAACTCTGTGGCTGCCTGATACCCTGGGAGCACAGCAAAAAGATATTACAGCACCGAAAGCCACTTGTGTATCACAGATAGGACAAAGGACATTACCTGTGGCCAGAGATTAGAGAGCCAGCACAGAATATGTGGTGTCCTGCTTAGTAGAGCCATGGAAGGAGTGAGGCTCAGGGGTGCAGAAAACTTACCACAGGAAAGAACTTGAATTTGCAGTGATGGATATCCAGAGATTGAGGCAGAAATCCCAATGGCCATCTGAAGGAGGTACATTTACCCTCCTCAGGGAATTTCTTGGTTTTTGTTTTGGGTTTTTTTTTCTTTTTTTTTTTTTTAGTATTAAAGAAGGCCACTTTACCATTAAATTATATCCCCAGCCCTTTTTATTTTATTTTATTTTATTTGAGACTGGGTCTAAGTTTCTGAGGACCTCCATTGGTTGCTAAGGCTGGCCTCAAACTTCCAATCCTCCTGTCTTAGCCTCACAAGTCTCTGGAATTATAGGAATATGCCATTGCACCTGGTATCAAGGGAATTTTAAGAAAGGAAATTCTAATAATGTTGGTAAGAACTCTGAAGAGTTCATTAACATGCCTCCCAAAAGTGCTCTTTCAAGAGCTTCAAGCACAGGTTAAGCTATTGGGTGAGATGGCTACCATGGTATTGGCCAAAGAAGGTCATTTCTGCCCTTATCTCTTCCTGTTTCTTCTGCCTCGTCCCTGGAGAATTTGGGGAGGGAGAAGAGAAGTGAGATTCATGAAATTGAGAGAAAAAACATCATGTTTTTCCTCTGTGTACAGGAGGCCTCTTCAGTGTGACCAAGTAGGGATAATAGAGAGGGCTTAACAGAAGATGTAAGTTATCTGTTATTGTACAGGAACTAACTGAAGTTACTTTTTATGTCTAAAAGTGAACAGATGACCTTTTTACTATCTAAGAATGACTACAGTAGTACTGAGACTCTGCCTGGATGTCCCTAGGGTCAGGAAGAAATATTCCCACAGAGGAATTTAAAATTCTTGGTGCATTCTAAGAACCAACCCTTGCAACATAACAAAGGCATGAAAATAATTGTTATCCTGGAGTTGTCCACTGTTTGCGGGGTGGGGGTGGGGGTATTTTCTAACGTAGACATGTTTCTTAAATCAGGAGAAGACTAGAAAAAAATTCTTGATGTTTTCTACTTATTCTAACAGGAAGGTCACAATCACCAAGATTCCCCAGAGTTCTAATTATTAATTAAGGAGGTCCAAGTTCTGTGAGCAGAAGCATTGCAGTACGAGAGCCAAATAGTATCTCAAACTCAGAAATAAGTCACTTTAACTTATCCTTACATTTTTCTGCAGCTGGATATATAAAATTATTATTTTCTAGGGTGCAGAAATCCTCAGATTTCATGGGGTTTGACTGCTTGCAACTTATCTAAGAAACAATAAGGATCAGCTAGGCTTAGAGAGCTTCTGACTTTTAAATTATGTCCATTTGTTCTTGGATATGTTGATTGCTTGCCTCAGCTCTCAACTTACAACTATGGAGTTAGCTAGAGTAGTGAACACCACTAAAGGAGCTACCAACAGTAGGCCTTACCCCCCACTTTTACTCTATCTACCCCACCCTAAGTTACATCAAGGCCTTAAAAAAACACACACAATTTAAATATAAGTGATAGTCAAAGAATCACCCCCTGCTCCCGGAAAAAAAAATTAAATGTAAATAAAGTACAAAATATTCCTATCAAGCATATTTATAGGACTAGGTTTTACCATATCATTCAGACACAGTGAATATCCTCAAAACACAACCCTCCCATATTGACAGAATACCAAGCCATTTCAATTATATAAACAATAAAACTTGCTAAACTTTCTTGCCAATAGATAATTACAATTTAAAAGAATTCATTTCACATTCTTATTCTCTGGGATTAAATGTGATTGTCTCGGCAAATTCTCATGAATATTACATTAGCAAAACCAGCAGTCATTTCACTGGACATGTACTGATCTCCCTGTATTGTATCTTCCTTGAAATGAATAACTGGCTCACACCGTCATTTCACAAATCTATTATGAGAATATCAGTAATGAGCCATTTATAATTTAATGAAGTCTTTCCATGGATTCATTAAATAAATAGTGACAAAGGTAATTATTGATTTTTTTCACAAAAGCTCATTTCTGAATAAGGATTATAATATTAAACCAAGTTAAAAGGAAACATCATGCAATTCGACTCTGGGAAGGTACTTGAACGTTCTAACAGTGGCATCGTGGTTTCATGTACTGCCTAATACCATCTGAAATGACATATTCATTTGAAAAATATGTCTGACGCAAGATTGAGATTTAATGGTATTCTCAGTGTCTTGGGCATTTTCAAGCAAGATGTTTGCATGTTACAGATGTCTATATTCTAAGTTATGTGCATATGAAATAGATAAACAGAATATATACTACACACACACAGACACATATTTAGCCTTCTGTCTGTCATACAGATATGTTTCATAAGATTTCAATCCACTGCTTTCTCTCCTCTACTCTGAGGTCGCTGTATAGAAGGGTTTGACACAACTATGCCCAGGAAAAAAGACAAATAAAAAAATGAAAGTTTGTCTCCTT